ATATTAAAATATTTAACAATTTTGGCCTTAAGTTCATAACTGTTGAAGCTAGGTAATAGATATATGAGGGTTAATATTATTTTTTCTATTTTGTATATGCTCCACAATAAATTTTTTTAAAAATAATTACTTGGTAAAATGCTACAATTATAACATTTTGGTTGTAACTACCTTGAGTTTACAGGCTTATTTAGAGTGACATGATATCTTCCCATATTCTCAACTGGGAATATGTCTCTCTCTCTATATATATATATATATTTACTCAGAATTTAAGAAAAAATCTCTTTATTAAAACTACTTAATTTTCATTGTGTTTTTCTTCCAGATTTGTTAAGGTTCATACCTAAATATTTTATGGTTTTCATTATTATCAATGTGATCCTTCTCTTGTGGATTATTTCTAAAATATAGGAAAATATTCTTTTCTTAATGTTGTGTTCCATACCATCTGCAAACAATGGCAGCTCTGTGTGTTATTTTTCAGTAACTGTTTTCTTCTACTTTTGATTTCTTTTTTTTTGTTTTTGTTTTATTACATTGGCTAGAAACTAAAAAGCAATATTGGTACATAATAATAATTATCAATGTCTTGTCCTAAGTGGGTATTTTAAGGTTTTCATTAAAATATACTAGTAAGTTTCTTGGGTTGTTATATTTTATGACTCAAGAGTGTAATTCTCTATACTGATTAACTAGGGTCTTTTAAAAATCAGAAATCAATATTTACTTTTATTAAATTCTTTACCATATCTACTGAGATGATCATTTGTTTTTCTCTTCTCTTAACTTGACAATGTAAAGTACATTAATAAATATCCCACTGTTAAACCATCCCTCTAAATCTGGAATAAATCCTATTTGTGAACATCCAATCATCTGCTCTGTTTCACTTCCTAATATTTTCTTTAAGACTTTTCCATCTACTTTCATAACTGAGATTGCCCATAACTTTGTATTATTGTTTTCCATTTCTGGTTATAATTCATTATCAATTCATAGCCTTTCTCAGGATTATAGTAACTTTAAATGAGTTGAAAACTTTCCATTTCCTTCTATCCTCCATCACAATTTGTAAAAAGGGGAATTATTTACTCTGAGAAATTTTGGTAAAACTGACCTATAAAACCTTTGAGGTATGATGCCATTTCCATGCATACATTTTTCAGCATTTTATATGGTTAACATTCTATTAAGGTTTCCACATCCCTTTAAGGAAATACTGGTAATTTATAGTTCCCTTAAGATCAATTTTATACATTTTCAAATCTATCAACACAAATTATACCTGATATTTCATTACAAGTTTCAAAATCTTATTTTAAATTTCTAACATCTCTATTAGTTCACTTTTCAAGAATATAATAAATTTTCAAACATTTCTGAAACTATTAATCAGTCTTCTACCATTTGTTCTATTAACTCTTCCTTAGCTCTTAATTGATCTGTTTGTAGAGTTTCATGCCTGCGTATGTTTTTATTTTCCTCAACTGTTTGGTGAATTGGGGCTTTCAGCATACCTCTTTACATTAGGTTGACTCTGGCTCACTTATCTGGGGATATGTTTGCCATAACTTGCCTTAGAGACTGTAGGAGGTGCAAAGGATGATGGTAGTTAGGTGTGCCAGTAGCTTGTATTTAGGGCATATTTGCTGTCTCTCCTGAAGGTCAGTAGCACCACAGAGCTGCCCTCCTCTTGTATGTCAATGTCTGCACTAGTTTCTTTAGCTCTGGAGCAAATGCTATGAAGTCCCAGTGCTCTGCTCAAGCAGCAGAGGGTGAAGGGGCTGGATGTGCAGTTGCTCGGAAAGCAGTCTCCTACTTGCTTTCATTTTTTCCATCTAAAGCTTTCTCCCATTTCTGTATCAATTGAGGATGCCTAGGAAACCCTCATTAACTCTGTATCATCTTCTTTGTATGTATGAGGCTGTGGTTCCATCTAATCAATAATCTATAAATTTAGATGTCAAAAATGGCTTAGCCATAGCATAATGGATTTTGAAAATCTTGGTCTCTCATGGGATTTTGGATGGAAGAAGAGTTGTGCACGTATGTTTACTTCACTCTTTTGATAAAATCACTCTTCCTTCTGCAATTTCTTTCTGCTTCTTTTGTGTACATGTTCATCTTGTTACCCATTCAATATGGCCTACTTCGGTTTTCTAATAACTTTACTCCACTTCTCTGGCCACAGTGATTAACCGGGTGTGCACATGACATGAGCACAGCCAGTAATGTTAACATGTGATGAAGGATATCTCTTTTGTCTGCAGTTGTTAAATGAGAGATGCCTATGTTATTATGTCTCCTGCCAGTTGGAAGAAGTCTGTCTACAGAAGGGGATGAGTCCAAAACAGAGAAATCAGAGAAGTGAAAGAACTAGGATGAGAGGTGGAGACACATGCATTCATAATACACACACTCATGTGTATGTACACACGTCATAACATTGTTTGACTACTTAGATCCAGCTGACCTTTGGCTAGCTTATCCACTGTGTTTATCGGTTATTTTGAGTGGAATTTCTTTCATTCATACACCAAAAATTATAATATATTGTCTGGCTAAGTCATTTACACTTATTAGATTTCACTTGTTTCTAGAAGCACTATGAACCTTAAATCTACAAGTTAAATGCTCCTCTTTGTCTTCTATTTGTTCCCATTGTGTATTAACATTATTGGTCCTATACTGTAATTACTTATTTATTCTTCTCTCTCCTCTCAGTAGAGTGTAAACTCCTTAAGGACAAGAATTGTTGCTTATCACTGTTATATCCGAAACTCAGTACAAGGCCTAAACATAATAGGAACTCAATAACATATGCTATAAAATGAATAAGATGTCTAGATTATAAAAAACTCAGGTCAAAAATAATGATTTACTGAAACATGCCTCCTATGATTTAAGAATAACATGAAATTTCTTGATAAAAGTGAGTAGAAATAGCTAGAAACAATCGTTAAATTAAATAAAAAAAGAAAAATTCAATTTTCTTTAAACTAAAACCAAAGAAAAGTAGGAGCATGATTTATTTATATTCCTATTAATAATTAAAATTAATATTTATCAATATTCTTAGAGGTGATTTATGTGTTTTGGTCTCATCTTCCATCCATTAATTAAAAAAAAACCAAAACACTAAATTTGATCAGTTATTTAGTTAGAATGCTTGCCTGAGAATTAAATTTAGAACATTGTCATGTGGCTTGTTTTGTT